AATCCATATTAAAATTAGATTACCGTTTGAAATGTTCGAAATTTAAATTACGAACTTATTTAATCGTTTTCTACATCAATTATGTGACACCAAATTAAAAAGGCATAGTGACTGGTAAAAAGCGCCCATACCTTTCCAAATTAGGTAGGTGGGGTTGCATTTTCACCAACGCGAACAAATATAGACCTATATAGACCTAATATTGGGGGTGGTGGCGCAAAATTGGTAGTTCGTCCTGAGCGCCGAAATATATCGCTACTCCTTTATAAAAGTTATTAATTATTACTTTTTGATAATAGCGATTAAACATTTTGCGCATCCCTAGGGATGGCGCCCTAGGCGACAGTCGAGTTCGCCTTATAGGTAGCGCCGGCTCTGGATATCGTCGTTCTAGTATTTCATGTAATTACCTGTATATAAAAGTGTAAGGTTTCCATTTTTATATGTTTATCGAAAAGGGTATGGTTTTACGTTGTATATGTGTATAGAACAGTACAAGGTTTCAAGTTCCATAACTCACCAGAAAAGTTCATGGTTTCAAGTTCCATAACGCACCAGAAAAGTTCATGGTTTTAAGTTCCATAACTCACCAGAAAAGTTCATGGTTTCAAATTTTGAAACGAATTCTGTAAGCTATACTCATCGATTATTTCTACCATGTGGTATTCTGGCTTAAGAGTCGGATTAGAATTAGGATTATATTCAGATTTAGAGTTTGTGTTTAGTTGGGATTCCATTGCACAGCTGTCACTGTATCGTGATGTAATCTGTGTTAAATTGCGATTAAGATTAGTACGTGTAAGTTTTATTTTTTGTTTACTTTTTGTGACGCTAGTTGTAGTAAATTAGGGTATGTGTAATTGAAATATTTTCTGGTTTTTGGGATTTAGTGAGTTTAAACGTGGGTGTGTCTATTTGATAGGCACTACAACGTGAATTAGGTGTGACCGTAGGTGACGTTTTTTTCCTTGAGGGGAGGGGGGGTGGGTGGGGGGAAATGTGAAATATTATGCTTTAATTAAACAAATACTTTTAAAATTAAATTTGATTTTTTTACATGATATATACTTTTTTTTTTACATAGACGATTAATATCAATATAACCTTAACCAAGCTAAAATAATATCGTGGTATTACATAATTGTTGCACTAAACAAGATTTTATTTAGGGAAGGAGAAAATAGGCTGAATTGTAAAGTCAAAATGGGTTTCTACCAATGCGATAAAGGGTTGGGGATAAAAAGTCAGTAAAAATGCAGGACTTCATTTAAGGACGACCCCATTTTTACAATCTCAGTCTTTGTTTGGCTGAGAAAATAATGCACTCCACTTCACATACCCGCGTATAGCAGTAATCTAGCGCAGTCTGTGCGTCCTTGGATAGCGGCCTTCATGAGCGCCGTCATCCCCAGCCTGTTGGGCTGATCTATGCGGATTCCCTTGAAGTCTTGCAGCAGTATGCGGACAGCGTCAGTGTGACCTGATGATGAAAACTTGGATTGGAACATTTTTGAAAAATTGTGATTTAAAATTAGAATACAAAGGAAGTGACCTGATGATTAAAAATTGGATTGGAACATTTGTGACGACGTGATTTAAAATTAGAATACAAAGGAAGTGACCTGATGATTAAAAATTGGATTGGAACATTTTTGACTTCGTGATTTAAAATTAGAATACAAAGGAAGTGACCTGATGATTAAAACTTGGATTGGAATATTTTCGACTTCGTGATTTAAAATTAGAATACAAAGGAAGTGACCTTAAGATTAAAACTTGGATTGGAACATTTTTTGAGGTCGGTATTCAAATTAGAATACAAAAAAGTAGAAGAAAGTGACCTGAATATCAAAACTTGGATTGGAAGTTGAACTGGTTTTTAAATATGAAACACAAAGATTAAAAATTAGTTGGGAAACTGAAGTGGTTAAATAAAATAAAATACAAAGAAGTGACCTGAAGATTAAAAATTGAATTGGAAAGTCGCGTTGTTATTTAATTTAGAGAAAATTGAAAGTGATCCGAATTTTTTTTAAAACTTGGTTTGGAAAATGAGGTTGCTATTTAAATATAAAATACAAAGAAGGTGAATCGAAGATCAAAACTTGGATTGGAAATTGACGTGGTTATTTGAATTAGAATACAAGGAAGGTGACCTTCTTGATAACTTGGATTGGGATCGTTAATGTGGTTTTAGTTAGGAGACAAGGTTCGGTATTTAAAGAAACATAAAAGCCTTTTTGTTATTTTGAGTTTGGTAAACTTTTTTTCCCGATGTCTAAATTTAGATACGAATCGATATTTTGTATTTTTAGGTTATTGTTTTTATTGTTTTAAGAATCTGGTCAATTTTTGTATAACTTTATCGATCAGTTTGTTTATGGAATTCAAACAGAAATACGCATAGTTTTTAATGCATTTTTAAATATTAACTCTAAAAAAGTGCTCTGAAATATATTTTGTATTTAAAAGTTGTCTCTTTCCCTTAAAATGAACTTTACAATGGAAAAATAGTTCTATGATTTCAGCCTTGAAAGTGATTGTACGGTCGGTACTAAGCCCAACCACGTTTAACATACACAATGTATGTCTTTTCCCCATCTAGACTCATGTGAATATAAATTCAACTGGGTGACACTAAAAAAATTACTAACCTAACTAATTCAACCTGTGATGAACCCAAAAAGTTAGGTTTATACAGCTGCTTGATATATAATAAACATAACCCTAACTTATTCAACCTATAATATTATTTGAAAGTTAGGTTTAAGAAGCTACTTGTAACGTCTACCGTTACCAGAAAGATAAGTTGATACATATATATGTAACCTCTGCCGTTGCCAGAAAGGTTAAAAAATAAAACGCTAACTTTTTCAAACTATGATCAAATCAGAAAGTGAGGTTTACATAGCTACTTGATAATATACAATAAACATCACCCTAACTCATCCAACCTATGATATTACCAGCCAGTTAGGTTTAAGTAGCTACTTGTATCCTCTACCGTTACCAGAAAGGTAAGTTGATACATATATATGTAACCTCTGCCGTTGCCAGAAAGATATGTTGATACAGATATATGTAACCCCTGCCTTTACCAGAAAGATAAGTTGATACAGATATATGTAACTCCTGCCGTTACCAGAAAGGTAAGTTGATACAGATATATGTAACATCTGCCGTTGCCAGAAAGGTAAGTTGATACAGATATATGTGACCTCTGCCATTACCAGAAAGTTAAGTTGATATATATATATATATATATATATATATATATATATATATATATATATATATATATATATATATATATATATATATGTATATATATATATATATATATATATATATATATATATATATATATATATATATATATATATATATATATATATATATATATGTGTAATCTGCCGTTACCAGAAAGGTATGTAGAAACAGATATATGTAACCCCTGCCATTACCAGAAAGGTAAGACCTACTCTAGAACCCACCTGCCTGTGCCGCCAAGATCAATGGCGTGTTTCCCTCCTTGTCAGGTAAGTTCACATCTAGCTCAGGTACGTCAATCAATAGTTCCAGAGCGGGGGTCAGGCCGGTGGAACACAGGTGAGATAAGCCAGTCTGCGCAGGAAAGAAACAAGGTAATTACAGGTGTTTCTCGTCATTTACATCCATTAGTCTTAATTAGCTTGTATGCAGGTATAGGGCAAAAAAAAAAATCAATAACGATGAAGAGAAAAAAGAAGAGTGATGCATGATGATGTATTAAAAGGGAATTTGTTTTTGTTTGCCTATTTGATTGCCTGTGTCTGGCTTTGTTTGAAGGTTGAAAAAATGAAGAGGTAGCTCGGAAAATAAAGATATTTGACACCATTGAATTTTTTAAAACAAACAGATAAGAATCCGTAAATGCCTGGAGTTAAAACATTCACCGAAAACAGATATTCAGCATTTCAGAAAACGTTGACAGTCATTGCAGTAGAAATTTTAATGTCAAGAAAGGTTATCAGAGCTCCCAGTAAATCTAGCGAGACAACACCCACTCTCCTCCGGAAAAAAAGTCGAGTGTGAGTTCACTCCCTTACCTAGAAATATCCAGCATGATTTCTCTCCCATATTTAGAAAATCTAACATCTTCCCTCCCTTACCAGGAAAATCTATGACTGCCTCTTTTACACGGAAAAAATCTAGCTAGACTTCTATCTCCTATCCGGAGCAATCGAGCATGACTTTCCTCATTTAATCGGAAAACAAATCTAGCTACAACACCCACCACGTGCATATACCCCTAACTCCCTCCCCCCCACCCTTCACACACTGCCCAAAAAGTTCTCAGGTCACCCACCCCGGCGTCTTGTGACCTATACGCTTTCTTAGAGATGTCCTACATTTCACAGCCAGTGTTTCTTCCAGACTTTTTTTCTCCGGCAGGGCGGGGGGGGGGGGGGGGCACTTAATATTTTCGTGTGGGGGGGGACATTTTCCCGTGGTGGGGGGGGGGGGGACGGGGACACTGGTAAAATTAAATTTTCTATATAAATTCCATTTCGTTCTCAGGGAGGGGGCGCTTTATCCCCCCCCCCCCCCCCCGAGAGATGCCTGGAAGAAACTTTCTTCACAATTTACCCAATAACTTGCACAACATCTGATAAAAACCGCCATAACAAAACCACTCGTAAAATAACCGCATCATTATAAAAACTATATTAGTAACGCTTCTAAAACAAATATCTTTCTTTTCCGTAGAAAAAAAAAATTAAAAAAAAAGAAAAACAAAATCCCTAATCTGATTGTGAAGTCTCATCATTCATGGAGCTTAACTTTACCTCTACTCTTAACATTTATCACTTAATGTAAGGACAACTATTAGCTTAATGCAACTTTTGCAATAAACGTATTTTGCATTACAGCACACATTAACACTCTTATTTCCCCTACTGTGATTAATTTAGAAAGTTGGAATAGAAAACAAAACTACGCAAACCACATTCAGTAAAATTAAAATTATAGACTAGAAGAAAATCAACAAACCTACCAATCACTTTACAATCAACAAACCACCCATCTCTTCAATGAACCACCTAGCCCCCCCCCCTACAATCGACAAACCTACCACCCACTCTATAACTAAAAAACTTACCCCCCACCATTACAATCGACAAACCTACCAACAACTCTATAACTAAAAAAAACTTACCTCCCCCCATTACAATCGACAAACCTACCAACCACTCTATAACTAAAAAACTTACCCCCCCCCCACCATTACAATCGACAAACCTACCAACAACTCTATAACTAAAAAAAACTTACCTCCCCCCATTACAATCGACAAACCTACCAACCACTCTATAACTAAAAAACTTACCCCCCCCCCACCATTACAATCGACAAACCTACCAACAACTCTATAACTAAAAAAAACTTACCTCCCCCCATTACAATCGACAAACCTACCAAACACTCTATAACTAAAAAACTTACTCCCCCTTACAATAAACCAACCTACCAACCACTTTACAATTAAAACACCATCCCCTACCCTTACAATCGACAACCACCCCCCTCCCCCTTACAACCATCCAACCTACCCGACCACAGCGATCCCTCTCATTAATCTCCTCATCCGTCGGGCTGTCCTCCACTATGGATGCTATAGCATCCAGGTCGTTATCCATACAGGCCTCCAGGAAGGTCAGGTCCTCGTATCCATACTCAGGCTCCAGGAAGTAATCGTCGTCATCGGTCTCCATGATCATGCGACCTCTGGGATACAAAGGTCAAAGGTCAAACGTTGGTAAGGTACATGCTTAAGTTTCTTATCTATTATGATTCATATATATATATATATATATATATATATATATATATATATATATATATATATATATATATATATATATATATATATATATATATGTCGTGCATGGCGAACCAAAGCCCTGTGTTAGCTAAGTAGCGTTATTTTAGATTTGTATTAGGGGGGTCGTCCATAAATGACGTCACATTCGTAGGGGGGGGGGGGGAGGAAGGGGTTCGAAATTTGTGGCGGTGTGTGATTAGGGAGGGGGGGGGGGTTCAGAACGTGCGACGTCACACTTTTGCATTATAAAAAAGCAATGTTAGAAAACTAGTTTAGCCCTTATTTCGCGTTTTAGAAAACTGTTTTAATAAATGGTAACAGGAATTGATTAAAATACTCTATTTTGACAGAGTTCAGACAAGATTTTGGAAAAACATCGATGTTTTAAGAAAAATTCAACCGCAATTTTAGGGGGGTTGTAGACTGAGATGTGACGTCATTTTAGGGGTGGGGGGTCTGGCTTTTTGTGACGATGTATCACTTAGGGGAGGGGGGGAGGTAAAAAATCGTCAAAAAAGCGTGGAAAAAACATCTGGATGACGCCCTTAAAGTGAGATTTTCAAATCTTTTTACCAGGCGTTATCAATCTAACGTTGACACTAATGTTCGAAATGTAAGATTATATTGATGTAAAAATAATGTTAATGCAAAAATATTTGACTTTCACGTCGTTAGCTTTAGGAAACTGACTGGGATTTTTTTTAAATTTCAAGTTGTGTCATTGCATACTCAATACATAAATCAAAACAGTTCTGACTGATGTTGAAATGTGCATTAAACTGGATGTGAACATATAAAAAAAATCCTTGCCCCATCAAGACGTCAAATAGTAAAAACAACCCGGACAAATAGCCACTGACATGTTAGTCTTCGACAAAAGGAAACGGTCTAAATAGCCCCACCACTCCCCCCCCCCTTCACCGACAAAATAAGCTTAAGTGAAAATGTCGGTTGTATAAGTGATTGTAGGGGTGCGTAAGAAAAGATAGTGTAAGCTGACATACAATGTATGCAAGGTTCTCTGCCCGACATTTCCCCTGGGGAGTGTGTGGGGGGGGGGGGCTATATTTTTCCCCGAGGGAGGGGGAAAATAAAACAAGGGGGAGGGGGTAGGACACTGGTTAATTTCAATTTAAGTAAGCTATTTTTGTTTTTTTCTATTTCGCCCCATTGGTGGGGGGGGGGGGGGTGGTTGCTCCCCTCCGGTAGATATGCCTCAAACTGAATGTTAGGACACTTCAGTTACACGGAGCAAAGTGAACACAAGGGCCTCATAAAGACTCGAACCCTCGGTCTAATCCCAAGCCTAATGAGATAGCAGGGGGTCTATGACTCAACCACGTCTTAAAAATATTTTTAGCGAATTAATATTTAATATATTTTTTATTAATTTCTGTTATCCTTAATTAACCCAATTACACACACACACACTTCAACCATCAATTACGAATTAAAATAATGTTCCATTTTATTTTTAAAAATATATCCTTCTCCCTCAGACGATTTCTAATATAAAAACAACATTCAAGTTTAGATCCTTATGTCGAGGGCCCTAACATCAGAACTTGCTCAGGCCGAAGCTGCCCAGCGAGTGGTTAAAATTATTAGCCAGTAATGATTCCATTAACCCCTGATGGGCTGCCTAATGCCGTGAAATATTTCCTCTGGAGCATACAGGAAATGACAATGACGTCATCACGACAAAAAATGTCCGCAGCTGAACTATGAATGTTCCATTTCAAGTGTAAAAAAATATTTAATTAATAATATGGCGTTTTCTGGAAGTTAAATAAAAAAGACAATGCTAGCTAGGCTATTTATAGAAATATTTTTTTTTTTTTACATTTTTTTTCTTGAAACATTGTGTAACTGATAAAAATGAAGTATTTTTTGCATTTAATATGTTGTTATTATCGTAAAAATATAGTAGATATGCTCCATCATTAGCTGAGGTGTTCAAATTGTTGATTCAATTCACCGAATTTTTAATCCCCATTTTTTAAAAGTATATGATAGTCAATTACTGTATTACTATGTGATAAAATATGACGTTGTTAATTGTATGACAGTACACACAGTCGCTGATTTTAACATTATAACAGGGTAAAATTATTGCGTCATAAAAGATTATTCACTCGGGGGAGGGGGTGCGCACTGGTTGGTAAAAGTTTATATTTTCTATATAATTTACATTTCGTTCAGGGTAAAGGGGGGGGGGGGCGATAGACGTTCATTCACAACGACTGAGCTGTTTACTCAATACCATCTAGCCAACCAACCCCCTCCAGCCTCCCCATTCTTCGAGCTTAATTTAAGTAAGAAAAGTTAAATTTACGAACTTGGCGGTTTATAGGGCATGTAAAGTAGAGTCAATCTTTTTTTTACCTCGGCTTAAGAAAGGATAATGTCATCAGCAGAATACCCAGCCTTAATTTAAAGATAACTTTAATTACCGCAACTCGTACGAGCCACCTATCTTTCAACTTGTAAACAACTTCTACTAATCAAAGGGAAATTCCGATTGTCTCCGAGTGTGATTAGCAAAGATTAACTCTATAGATCCCAGGTAAGGATTTTAAACCTGGCATAGAAATCCCAGTCTAGTACAGGGTAATGGAAGGTTAACATAGTCGTACCATAAAAACTGGGATATTTATTTTCGACTTGCTTTCAATTGAGAGAGATTTATTGGACAAAGTTCAAGATGACGTAATTAAAATCGTGTGCTTATAAAAATAACAGTGAGCTTAGTGTCACTATATACATAATTTGTATGTCATTTTGCACCTTCTTTTCAATCAATACCTATTTTCATAACCTGCTCAGTTTAAAAAAATATTTGTATGATTTATTATAGATCACCAATACTCAATCCTATCTGATAGTATTCCTCTAGGTCAGTGATTTTTAACCTATTAGCGCGCCTAAATATGTGCTTATGTATAATAATGAAAATTGTAACAGAGAAATATCACACCAAAAACACGAAAATAAATACGTTCAGTTTTGCTCTACATCTGAAATAAAAAACCAATCTCCACTGTAGATAAAGTAGGCAGATGTTAAACGGCAAAAACTGTTGAAATTTCATTTTTTTTTTTGCACGATTGCAATACTTTCTATATAGGCCTACTCTGTATAAGAGAAAGTAATTTTTAAAAAAAAAAGCAACATAAAAATACATACAAAGGAGAAAGCTTTACAAAAAAGAAATAATCAGAAATGCCAAAAAAAAATTAAATGACAAAACGGGCTTCCATAACACAGCCACAGAATCTGACGGGGTAAACAAGTACACAATATTACCCCAGATCAGAAAAGGGTCTGACGTCATCCGCATAACGATGGATCAACAACTAGATTCTACATAAAATAAGATTTTTTTTTTCTTCATAGACACCCCATGAAAAAATGTTTTCTAAATTTACGTGCTGTATAGCTTCGCTTAATTGCGTGGTTCGTTAAGAAAATGTATTCGTAATGCTGGTAAAGTTGATGTGTTCGTAAAAACTAGAAGAGAGGAATGTATAAAATATGTTGATGGGGGTTTACAAAGACATTATACAATACTGGTGTTGCTTTTCTGCAAGATTTATTTTTTGTTAATTTAATTTTCGATATCTTTGTATGAAGTAAGTTTTTAGTATGGTGGTTTGGTTTGTTGAGTGTGGTTAATGCCCGATACAGAGGCGTAGGTAAGGGATAGCGGGTGGGGCGGCCGCCCCGGGCGCCGAGCATAACGGGGAAGGGGGGGGGGGCGCAAACGGGGTAGAAAGAAAAATAAAAAGCTTTAAAAACAATAGACTGCGCATGGCTATACATACTTATTTAACTGTATCTGTTATGTAACACTAATATAATAACTGTTGAGGGGGGTGTCTTTCCAGCCAACGTGATTAACTATTTATAAATTGTGTTTAGTGCGCACAAAATGATAGTTCACCATGGGCGTCGGAATGGACCGATGGTGTTTAAATATGGTTTAATTACACGTTAATTACCATAGAAAGCGTATTGTTGCTCACGTCTTGTGAAAAAGTTTATTCTTGTACAAAAAATGAGTTAGGGAGCATTAGGGGCTAGCTTGAAAGTAGCGTCAAAATGCGAAATATAGTAAACGAGTGCTAGCTCAAAAGCCTCTAGTTCGGATCCCAGGGCTTCGTTTGTATGCCATCCAGAGGCGTAGCGACGGGGAGGGGGGGGGGGGGTACATATGTCCCCGGTCGCCAACCCTAGGGTCGCCAAAATGGGTTGTGAAAAAAAATTAAAAGCTCATTTTAGCTACAGTTTTGAATTATAAATATTAAGAAAACATATAGGGGGGCGCCAATTTGAAAGTATGTCCCCGGGCGCCGGGAGGGGTCGCTACGCCTCTGATGCCGTCCCAGATTACACCCAGCTGAGACAGATAAATTGCTCTTATTAGGAAAACTCGGTTAGGCATAGTGATAACCACACTATTCATATGTATACACACGTTTTTTGAAACACACGAACTCTACTTCATCTGTCTGGCACTCACACGGGAACAGATGATGATAAAAAATAAACCGGGAGTGATCTCCCCTAAACTTTCTCGAATATTCTTATATAAAATAACAGGGGATGGGAACTCGGGCTATAGACATGATTTTTATTCCATTTTAAATACTTAAAGTTTTAAAAATAGAATAAAATCTCGTAGACAAATTAATTGCACACCAAGTGAACGCCAAATAAAAAAGCGCATAATAGTGCGCAATATTATTAGTACTTCTAAAATTTACATTAGTTTTTTGAGAAATCGAAAGTAGCGTAAATTACTACTTCCAGTCAACGGAAATTACTCAAAATTTAACAGAAGGTAGAGAATTAGATCTTTTACTTACATGTGAAATTTCATGTATCTATCTGAAATAGTACT